ATGAGACCTCCACATATCCTGATGGAAAATTTTAAAGATGGGAAAGTAAACTGAACGGACTATAATCATGGATTTAGTAAAGTTCTAAACTAAAATATTTCTGAATACATGAAAGATACATATTCAGAGTACAATGTTGTAATACTTTTTACTGGCACTGTAGCTACTTGTCGATAAATATAAAACCACAGTGTTAACTATAAACTACACAGGAAAAAAGGACTTTTTTTTGAAAATTAGACTAACCTAGGAATTTTACTTAGAAGTTCACCCTAAAAACATAACTAAGAATGTCCACAATAAAGGCCTTAGCCATAAGAATGACACCCCCAGTGAAGCAGTGGGAATTCCTGAGCATGCAGTAAGAAACGGTTGGAATAAGTTGTGACACCATCCTCCGATGGGATATCCTAACTTCTACAATGACACTGAGGAATGACAGTAACTTTTTTAGAGACACATCCCAACATATCACTGAATGTGAAAAGCACAGGTTACCAAACAATGTACAGTTTCTGCAGAAAGATGAGCAGTCCCTGTGCGTGGCAGCAGGGGGCGGTGTGTGTGTGAGCGTGTGGACATGGCAGACAGGAACCTGAAAGAACACGCTAGAGTCTAACAGCCATTATCTCAGAGAGGTTAGCACTTCGCTTCAGACCCCTGCACCACATATTCTAAATACACTAAATTTTCTATACTAAATATGTAAACTTTAAAATTTCTAAAAGTTATAAATATAACCTGGTAAAATATATTAAATTAGCCCTGGCTACTTTACCTTTTTAAATACAGAGGCACCTTGGTGCACAAACTTAATTCTTTCCAGGATTCTGGTCACAGAATTCATTCCATGATTCTGATATGCTTGCAATTCGACTGCGACCAGAATCCTGGAGAGAATTAAGTTTGTGAACCGAAGAACCACTGTATTATAATTAGCAAAAACGATAATGACCTCAAACAATATCTCCCCGATAAACAGCAAGAAACGTCTGTGAGCTCCCAAACTTCTACAGCCCCAAGTATTTGTGACTGTTTGCAGAACATATATACAGCTTGAAAAAAACAAAAACTAAAACTACAAAGTAAACTACGTGAAGAAAAGAGCTTATGGGGCAAATGTTAGTAAACAGAACCCGCTCCTAACCGGCACAGGGTTCTCTTCCCAGAAGCCTCCTGTCCAGTCACTCCAGCACAGAAACCATAAAGAGGTACAGCCACCCCTTCTCATCCAGAGTCACCTGTGGTCCCACAGCCCCCAGCAGATGCCAGGAAGAGGGGACAGTAGCAGGCCTACATAATCCGTGCTCGTGCACACCTGCCCATCATGCAGTTGAAGTGGTCAATCGGGCAGACGAGATCAGTCATGACCAGCAATAAAGTAGAGTAACCGTAACAATGTACAGCAGTACCTCAGCTCATGAACTCAAATCTCTCCACGATTCTGGTCACCAACTGAACTGGACGAGAGCCGAATCAAGTTTCCCCATAAGGCCAACACTGAGCCTAACTGCTGAACTGGATTCGGTTCTCGTCTAACTGGGCTTGCGACCAGAATCGGGGAATGATCGGTCTGTGAATGGAGGTTCCACTGTGCTGTAACAAAACCTGTGTGAACACAGCCTCTCTCAAAATGCGGAATCTTCCACTTTACATCTCCAGACTGTGGCTTACTGCAGGCAACTGAAACTGCAGAAGCACACCTATCACGACTCCCCCTGTCACCGTTCTGGCCAGTAAGGCGCCATGGCCAACAGCTCAGCTCCCTGCGTATTACAGATGAAACAGCCTTCCGTTAAAATAGGACACATCGACACACTCAAACTCGGCAGAAGTGCATACATCAACAAACGTAGAAAGAGGAAGCCAGCGTCAGTTACAGACACCTCTGGGCAGTGAGGTTACTGCCAGTTTTGATTTCTTCTTTTCTAAGTTCCACGCAGTAAACAGTAATGTTACTTTATTTAAAAAGAAGGGGACAGGCTACCGTGGCCTTCCGCACGCTGCCCGCACGCTTCCCCTGGGCGCTCTTTCCCCTGGCTTTTCCTCTGTTCCTCCGCCCAAGCGCACTCTGCAGAGCCAGTTTCTCCCACACTCCTCACTTTTACTTTTTCAAATAAAAACTCTGTCAATGTTTACAAAAAAGAAAAAGAAGGAAACAGATTGTTTGGGGGGCTGAATTTCAACAAAAAAGACCACAATACACAGACCCTGGTCCCCTCAAAGAGCCTCCCACGCAAACCTTTCTCCTGAGGAGCGGGAGGCACAGCGGTGTCTGCGCCCAGGCCCCTCCCTCTGGTTCTGTGCCCGGGAAGGAATCTGCACCTCAGCAGGAACCGAGTTCCTCAGACATGTAGCGCAGACCAGTGTGCACTTTTCTCTTCTTCAAGTGAAAACAAAACAATAGCCAGCGTGCAACACCACAGCCCTGCATGACCTGGGCCTCCCTCCAAAGCGGGCTCTCCCTGCACCCCTTCCTTCCCGCGCTGCACTCCCCGCTCTGCAGGCTTTCTGGATCCTCCCTGAACCTGATCCAGCCTGAACCTCACACGCTTTGGGAAGGCTGAACCCCAGGGCACCTGCCCAGGTCCACATGGTGCAAGCTCCTTCCACCATGAAGGCCTAATGCACCTTCCTAGGGGCTCCCCTACTCCTCAGCCCACTCAGGGCGCAGTATCCTTGCACCCGGTGCACGCCCAGCAGTTACCCCGCCACCGATCCACCCAGAATGACCCGTTCCCTGTCAGAGGTAAGCATTCTATCCAGCACTTACACCGCCAGGGGAAGAAACGACTCCACACACTGAAGCCCATCTGTAAGAGACACAAGACACTAGCCGCTGGCCCGCAGTAAACGTCCAATAAATGGCAAGTTCCTAATTAATGAAAAGGAGAACCTTGCACTTTAAATGAAAGCTTGCTGTTTATCACTGGGCCATCACTGACACGGCTTAAAAGCTGGAAGACAGGAGACAGAAGACACACTTCTCCCTACTCCGACCAAGCACAACCCAAGTCCTGGACACAGATGAAAACCAACAGAGACTGGAAGGGAGAGAACGCGAGAGGCAGCAGACCGAAGGCCTGAGAACAGCACTGTGCTGTTCAGGCCACCTGCCCTCTCGGGAGAGCTGGTTCTGCACACTGCAGGACCCTGGGAATGCCGAGAAGGGCGTGCATGCACACACACACACACACACACACACACACACACACGCACACATGTGTGTGCACACATGCACACACACGCACACACACACATGCGCACACAAACGGAAAACCAGCTCCAAGGAAAGAGCAGTCCAGCCCAGTAAGGCAGAAAACCTTTGGACAGCAGCTACTCTGCTCCAGCCAAACAACGTGAGAAAACCACCTCCCCCACTCTCCGCCCATCAGCAAAACCAAGCAGGGCGCTGGTACCTCCAACCTGGCTCAACCACGGTCAGCACTGGGACCTCCTCAACCCAGCAGCCCACAGGTCCTCCTGCTAAGGGCCGGTAGCAGTGTGGGCCAGGCTGGGCTAACTGCCCCACATACAGCGAGCACAAGCTTCCCCTCCCTCCTCCCTCTGCCCTCTGCCCTCTGCCCTCTCACAAAGCCCCCACATCCCACCAGGGTCCCTGGAGGCGGATACAGGAGCAGGCTGCCCTCAGAGGAGGCTATGAATCTGACCTCCCTCCTCCCAGCAGCCCCAGGGGCGTTCCACCGGTACAGGTCCAAGCACCCCACCAGGGTGCTGGACCTCTCCGGTCAGCAAGAACAAGCCCACGCCCTCTCCCACTGCTGGTCCGGTGAAAACAAAACCCAGAGCCTGGCCCAAGCCCACCCAAAACGGTCCAGACTTTAGTCCTGCCGAATGAAGAAGTGCTGGGTGGAGGGTCTCCCCAGGTGAGTGTGCTTAGCACCCCTGAACTGCATACTTACGAGCGGGTAAAGTGGCCAACTTTATGTGTTTTCTACTACAATTTTAAAAAAAACTTTTAAAAATACCAGTATCAATCAAAAGCAAAAGATTATCGAGCATCCCATACACTTAACCATTCATTCATTTAAGATACATAAAATAATAGTTACACACTATAAAACAATTAAAATCGTAGGAATACACCTTATTTTCCTGATTTTGTGAAATATTTGAAGTTTAATCCACACTTCTGCTGAGGGTTTAAAAATCAACTCTGCTAAAATTCTTACCACACTTTATGCAGTAAAACTACTCAAGTGTTATTTTTCCAATACAAGAATAAATTGGAAAATTTAATAGCAAAAGCTAGACACACAGATCACTGAAAAAACACTTTCTCTCAGGCACAAGCTTCTTAGCAGAATCTAAATCAGAATCAGTGTGCTCAGGAGGTGGTCTGTCCGCTATCGGGAGCTGCAGATTAGGCTGGCTATGGAAGTGGAAGTTACTAGTAAATTATGAAATGTTCACTCTCATATGAAAGCAAAACTCAACATACTGCATAAAGGGCTGTACTTAAACCATCCCATTCTACGCCTCTGAGCAGAGTAATGTATCTCACTACATTCTGCAGATCTGACTTTAGGGCCCAGGCAGAGCTAGTGGTTGAGTGCACACCCGGACTAGTTAGGTCCTGGGTTCGGTCCCCAGCACCACCCAAAACAACAGGCTGCGTGTCACAAGGAGCCAGAAAGCGCCTCTAACGGTGATCTGCTTTGGCAGAGTATGAGAAAGGAAAGGGATGAAACAAGGGAGAGGAAGCCAAGCCTGGTGAGGGGCCTGAGAAAGAGCCGGGCAGAGACGGCGGGAGTAAGGAGCAAGGCACACAGGAAGGACTCAACTCTGCCCTCTTTCTTTACTAAAGTGGGACGGGCAGGCTGACGACCCTCAACTGGGTTTCTGTTTTCACTGCACAGATCGGCAAGATCTTCAGGGGAACGGGTACAGAGCTCTGTGACGTTCACACCGGCCCTTGGGATGGGAGGGGAGAGAAAGCAATGACTCCAGCAAAGGGAGATGGGTACATGGGAGCCCACCTTCTCTTGGGCCAGCCTCTGGAGATGAATCCCGCAGGACAGCAGCGTGGCGAACAGGGTCAGGAGGTACTGCTGGATCCGGCAGACAGCGGCGGCCAGTGCATGGGTCGCGGAGGGCAGGCCCACCTTCTCAATCACGCTCTGGAAGGTGGTGGGACACTGGCGGGAGACTCGACACAGGGCCTGCAGGGACAGGGACGGCAGCACAGGCGTGTCAGACAGCCCTGCGTGGAGTGGCCGTCTCTGGGACAGCGCTGGAAACCAACCCTGGAGTTCTTCCCCCAGCACCAGAAGGTAGAAATTCCCTAAACAACAATCCCGCCACAATAAAAATGAACATTGTCATGAAACTTAGAGATTAAAAATAACCATTAAATTGGTAACTAGTTCACAAGTCTATAAAGATAATCTTTTTAAGTAACTAAAAACATTACACACCTTTGTGCAGACACTGAGCTAAGCGCAGAAAATATATTCATAAAATTAGCACTGAACATTGTTCACAGTATGAGGAACACTCAATATCTAAAAGTTATCTCATTTAATTCTCTTGCCAACATGTAAGAAGAGTAGGCTTATTATCCCCACTTTCCTGGTAAGACTAAGGCTGACAGGGAGAGCACCTTGTCCCAGGAGCAGAGCTCATGAACGGCGGGCCAGCAGCGGGAGGGAGTCCAAGCCCAGAGCTGCTCCAAAGCACTCAAAGTTTTTGCTCACAATTAATGTCACCTAAGTTCCTTCTCCCTGATTCATATTTTAAACAGGTCTATAACCCTGATTAGTAATGAAAAGATCAAACACAAGAGGAGTCACTAGAAATATGTCAGAAGTGAAGGAAGATAGGAGGTAAAAGTCTGAAAACTTTGAAAAGTATTTTCATGTTAAGATTTTTTTTCTATCTCCAAGAATGAACTTCCCGGGGCTGGCGATTTAGCTCAGTGGCACAGTGCCTGCCTGGCAAGCGCGAGGTCGTGAGTTCAATTCCTGGTACTGGAAAAAAAAAAAAACAAGAATGAACTTCCCCTCAAAATTACTCCTATTGATAAAACAGGGAAAATAAGTACTCACTGGTATAAAAGCAAATCTCTATACAAATGAAACTCTCAATGTTTCTACTGGGTGCTAAACCTTATTCCCTACTCTTCTGCAAATGCTAAAGTGACTTTCTGACAGAATCACAGAACTTCCAGAAGGACTACCCTCATGTGTCCTGAGGCAGAAAGGGGAGAAAGGGCTGTGAGCACATTTCACACACACGCATGTGATTTTATAACAATTCGTAAAGTACATGTGCATGGCTTATCATACATATTCTTAGTCACATGGAAACATCACCTACCCTTTTTGATTTTGGTCACCTCGAGTCAGGTGACAAAGGAAACAGCAATGTGAGTACATGCTGGACTAGTGGAAATGGTACATAATGGTCACACAACCAAATGAAACAATACAACGTTAGAACTAGGTCTGAAAATACAGTGAAGATCTTGGCAGGGATGAAGCCTATTGGACGGAATGCCAGCACTGCCATTCAACGTTGGAAATTGTTTGTAACAGACAAAATGCTACAAGATATTGTGAAATACACAAATGCTAAAATATAAGGAAAACGTTCTGTATGTACCAATAGCCATACTCAAAAATGTGTTTATTATGACACCTAGCTGAACTGAAAATATTCATGGGTCTACTGTACTTAGCAGGGCTTTCTCATGGCAAACACAGGAACGTAGAAAACTTATGGAAAAGCAGTAGTTGTGGGCTTGAGGTTTGCAGAATAATGACGACACTGAGATTTCATTTCTTGCAAAAGCCTGACATTTGATGACAAAAGCACCCACCAAGGAAGATAAAGAACTGGTGATCTGGCTGCTATCTGCTCATGGCTTGAGAGATCTGTGGGTATTGTCAAGCAATTTACACACCACCTGAATACATGACTACTGATGAACATCCTGCAGCACTTCATGGTCACTGGAATTTCAGGCTGTACAGTCCCCAAAGACCTGGACAATGTGGCATAAAAACGTATGCCCTTATAGATGCAAAGACTCAGTAGGCTTTCAATTTAGAAAAGTATCCTGGAACTCAGCCATCAAGTCCCTATTTGTACAATAATAAACCAAATGATGCTGTGAACGACCTGTTGCTCCCATTTCCCAAACTGATAGGAATGTGACATCCAACCATTGGTTTACCGATTTCCAACTGATCTTACATTTGCTAACAGAGCACAAGTTGACCAGTGCAGGAACTGCACACAGGAACAGAGCAGAAACTCCAAATGAAATGCTGCAATTTCAAAACAGAGAACTGTACAGTACAATCTTTGGATTTCAGAAAAATAAAACATTAGCCTCATATATGGTAAAGAAAAATAAATGTACTGATCTCAACACTGCACCATGATGAAAACACTGACAGGGAAACCTCAACAAAACCAAAGGCAGAGTAGATGTTGTTGATGAGTTATGCAGCAACTAAAACAGCAACTAAACCCAAAACAGTGTTGGCCAATAGTTGTGTTTTCCTCAATCCTGAACACAGATGGCATAAACAGTTTGACAGCTTACAAAAAAATTAGGAAGGCAAAATATCACCAAGAAATTTTCTTAAAAGATTGGGACTGGAACTCTTAAGAGATCATTTACAGCAGAGGAAAAGCAAAATGTGTCTGCCTGGGGAACTATGCAAAAAAAGACAAGACAGGTGACAAGAACAGGCTCCCACATGGCGCTGTCGATGTAATCAAGACCTCTGCATGGAAAAGGCGGTTGTCAGGTGTGAAGACTTCCCTGGGTGTGATAAATGAAGTAATGGGTTTTTTGTAGAGTTCTATTTGTAGCTTCTTTGTAGTTCACATAGTTTCTGATGTTCTTTTAGGGTTTTATAAGCAAGTTCACAGCTGATGTGAACATGCTGATGTTTATTCCAAACATGCAATATATATTAAGCATTTAATACTCTAGTTTTATTGTTACTTTGTTCCTGTAACTACACACTGCATAATGTAAGAACCTCCTGACAAAACATCAAGACCAGCAGGATGTCAAGTATGTGTTACAAAAAGGCCAGGAAAGTAAAACACACGTGCTGTCAGTGTAAGCAATGCATGTGTATGGAATGCACTGTTGTCATGTGTGAAGACTGCCGTAGGCGTGACAACTGAAATAAAGATTAATTTTTTTGTAGCGTTCTATTGGTATTTTCACTGAGGTTCATATAGGAATTTATTTGTTTTTATTTTTCAGGCTTTGCACACCAAAAACCAGTCTATGTGGAAAATTTTGTTTTTATACATATTAAAATTATAACTTTTTCCTATTAAGTACTCATTGTTTAATATAATAAAACTCAAATTAAAATTAATAATTCATCAACAGAATTTCTAAATTCTAATTCTAAAGAATAAATGTGGGTATTATACACCCACAGTAAAGCGTCTTTACAATAAAACTGGGCTTATTCCCCATAGGTTATGAAAGGATTATAGCAGACTATCAGCAGAAGCCTTCACCTGCAGCTGGGAGGCGGGCGCAGGGGCAGCAGAGGGGGCGCGGCAGCTGCTCCCGGCTAGTGTGAGGGTGGAACAGCTGAGCAGGCAGTGGGTAAGACTGAGCATGTGATGTGAGTGTTCTATCTCCAGGGGTGGGGAGGCAGGCAGGTGAGTGAGTTCACACTGACAGCAAAGACTGAGGCAGAAGACAGGGTTTGGACGGGGACAGCTCCTGGAAGGTCCCCTGTGGCCGCTACGCCTGCGTGAGACACACAAAGCTTTCCACCAAGGAAAAGGGTCAGAGGGGCGGCACAACTGTGGGTCAGAAAGGAGGTGAGGGGTAAAATGGACGAAATGGGCTGAGCGCGACATGAAGCCAGAGGTCGGCCTTGGGTCCTGGCCTTGTTTTTAGGACGAGTTTGGCAATGGAAGTGGCTCCACCCCACAGGGAGCCGGCAGGCCTAGAGGCACCACAAGCTCAAAGGCAGAGGACCTATGAAGAGATTTCTTCAAAACAGGATGGGCCAGGGCATGCTCATGGATCTCTCTGAGGGTCCTTCTGAAGCATAGCCCATGGCCCTCAGGGGTCACAGGAACAGACCATGCAATGGCCCCTCCTGTCCAGGGCTTCAAGCAGGTGTGGTACATCTACGAGCTGTGGCTGCTCCCCTGCAGCAGTGGGCTGGAGAGTAGGACAGAAAACGAACGGCCCCTCCCAGGTTGGCGAGGGAGGAAGAGGCAGCAGGCAGCATCTTCACTAGGACCAGGTGCCCCCGGGTACAGAGCCAGCGGATCCCTCCTACGTTGGGCTTGCGCCAAGGAAATGACGCATTTCCCCAGGCGGCCACCTCAGATCCCAGCAAGAGGTCCTCAGCGAGGAAGGGGCTTGGTCCTGACGTCTGAAGAAAGGTTTTATAATTTTCAGAAGGACAATGGGTAGGAGGGTAGTCTGGAGAAGTTTTGTCTCTCAGGTCAGCTTAGGTTTTTTTAGAATTTCAGGAAGTTTTTTTAGAATTTCATTTGCCGTCTCTGCCTTTTGGGGTGACTGGGCCTCAGGGTGGGATGTGAATGACACTGTATGTCTAGGGATGTAGGGATTCTCTCTGTCACTGTGGTCTTAAGGCCAGGCCACTGTCACTCCAGTTCCCCGAGACAACCAGAACCAAGGACAATTTTAGGAACCCACGCTCAGACTGCCTGTAGTGGACTGACAACTGGTGGTCAACTTAGAACTCCCAGCTGAACTGAGTAAGCGTGGTGCTGGGTGTGGGAGGTCCACCTGGGGATTGCTGCCAGCAGCATAAGACGCAGAACTGAAGAGGAAGAAGAGAGGCTGCTGGGAGCTAAGACAGGCTGTTGGAAGCTGGTAGAAGCTGTAAGGAGCTGTTGATTCTCTCAGAGGAGCTTGTGCTGGCTTTCCTAATAAACTTGACTATTTTCATCCTCTGAGGAGGTTGGGACCTTGTTGGCACTGAGAATAGCTTCGGTTCATTTGGGGGAAGCTCTGGTCCTCACTCTGAGCATCGCTTCCTGGCTCCGGAGGGGAAGAAAGTGCACAGCTCAGTCTCCTGAAGAAGCTTGTTGCACTGGCTTTCCTGACGGGAACTCGGCTATCTTCACCACTGGAGGAGCTCAGGACGTTACTGTTGCTGAGGATGGCTGTGGTACCTTTTAGGGGAGCTCTGGT